TCAAAGTTCCAAAAGTTACCTTGCACACACATGGACTTGTTATATTATTTCTATTGGTACATATGATATATTCTGACATAACATGCTTTTAAAGTACCCATGTTATGCTTTGGGGAACCCTCATTTTTACTGCCCTATTTCAGCATGTTTGACTGCAATAATGGAACCAGTTTAGACACCAAACACTAATCTCCTCATAAATTCAATCACCATGATGCATGTTTAGCTGTGTCCACATACAACCAAGTTTACACTGAAAAAATACCCAATAATCCCTGGAAGGAATGTTAAGGTCAGACACCAGGAGTGAGAGAGTAAGCCAAATTTGATTTCACTTTATGTCAAAAAAAAGTATAGAGTCAGTGACTCAGAGCTGGCTATACACTGTGACTAATCTTAGACTACCATAAATTAAAAGTTTGCAACAGCTATAAAACTGCTTCCATTCTGAACAATGAATCCCTAGTTTTTACTCACCTTTCATCCTCAAACAATTCATGTGGACACAGATAAAACGAATTTACCTAATAAGTATTATAATTTACCTAATAAGTAATATAAACATATACCTATACCCCAAACTTAATTTTAAAGATGAAAAAATTAAAATATTATTTAATTTGTAATTAATATTTTATTTTCATATAAATGACTCTTCTTAATTAATATAATTTTTACATTTTCTCAGTAGAAAATATTTATAATTTTGCCTGATGGATGTGCAGAAATAATAAACAGCAGTGGAGTAAACACCTTTGTGAAAAACAATACATTTTAGAAGAAAACAACTCATTTCTTCCTTCAACATTTAAGTGCCTCCAACACCTCAGATCTTCTGCTAGAAATTTTGAATAAAACAAAGACAAACACATTGTGTTTTGTTTCTAGACAAGACAAACACATCGTGTTTGTCTCTAAAACTCTTTCCCTACAAGCAAAGAGTTTAGAGAGAAATTGGGTGGTTTCCAAACTTCAGCATTAACAACTTCTCTGCCTTGCTTTCGGACTTCTGAACTTCCCTCATTTATTTCAGAATTATTGTCCGTTTTTTTATTTGCCAGTTACCTAAACTTCAGCTTCTGTCCAATGATTGAGACCATTTTACCTGTGCTAGACCACCCTGATGCAGACCACCTGCCTGGATTTGAACATATTTTATTCTTGCAGACTCTGCATAGAAATGATCTGCTTCCCTCCCACTGGGAAAACACCTGTCACCTTTTGAAGGACTTGTCTGACACTGTTTGCTTATCCTCAAAAGTTCCTGAGTAATCTAATCCAGTAATTCCCTAAACTTAAAGAGTGTCAGAAACACTCAGAGATGCTTAGATGTATGCAGATTCAGAGACTTCACTACTTGAGGTTATGATTCAGCAAGCCTGATTTGAAGTTCAGGAACCTATAATTTTAAAGCTTGACATGTCCTTGAAAGTTTTAATGAAGACCCCACATTTAAGCTGGGATTTGAAGAATAAATAAACCTCTGTGTAACATCAAATAATATAGGTAAATGTAACAAAGAACCTAATTGCAAGATGTGTCAGGTATGTTTAAATACGAGAATTTACTCAATTATTGGCCCACAGTAAGTGTTTAACTAATATTTGCTAAAAATGAATAAATTCAATCTATTGTGCTGAATGAATAAAGTCTGGGTGGATGCATCAGCTATATGAGGAGAAGCAGTGGAGGAATTAGAATGAAAAGCTAGAGAAGAGACAAATTCCAACTGGTGACAAATTCTACAATATATTTTGTGGGGAATGAGATTAAGTAAAACACTTGAAATATAAAGTTACTCCTACATATTGTGCTTCTCATCCTCACTTTTATGTTTCACAGACCCAAATCTTCATGTCTGAGCCTTACTCTTCAGATAATAAACTTTGACTGAGAAGGCATAAGACATCTAAATTGTATGTAAGAACAATCAATTAAAGTGAGTAGATGGACAGACAGGCCACCTATGTTAGGGTGTTATGGCTTAGATATGAGGTGTCCTTCCCAAAGCTCCCATGACAATGCAGGAATGTTTGGAAACAACATGAATATATTGTTAGAGCTTAATTAATCAGTGGATTAATCCATTTAATGGATTAATAATTTTTATAGATTACTAGGTGGTAACTACAGGTGGCATATAGAGTATGACTGGAGGAAGTAGGTCACTGGGGCATGCCCTTGGGGATTATATAATCATGAACCCAAAATAAAGTTTTCCTCCTCTAAGTTGCTCTTGTCAGGTATTTTGGTCACAGTGATGAAAAGCTGACTAACATAGCTACCGAGGATATCATTACAGGATGTAACAAGAGTCTAATACATAATGGTGACAGTCAAGATTGAAAAGAAGGGGTAGGCAGGCATGGCTGTGCATGACTGCAATCCCAGCAGACCTGTATTCCCAGCTATTTGTGACACTGAGGCAGGAGGATTGCAAATTTGAGACCAGCCTGAGCAACTTAGTGAGGCCATGCCTAAAAAATAAGGATTAAGAATGTATGTAGCTCTAAGGTAAAGCCCCTGGGTTTAATTACCAGAGAAGAAAGAAAGGAAGGAAGAAGGAAGAAAGGAAGGAAGGAAGGGAGGGAAGGAGGGAAGAAGGGAGGGAGGGAAGAGGAAAGGGAAGGGAAGGGAAAGGAAGAGAGGAAACTTAAGAGCCATAATAGGAATTGAACTGGTAAGATCTAACAATATGTAGAAGAAATAAGGGAAAGAATCACATAAACAATGAGGCTTGGGATCCAACTTAGTATCAAGAATAAACACAGAAAAATGAGGAAAATGACATTTCATGTAACATATATTCCTTTTTAAATCCATGTAACATATATTCCTTTTTAAATCCTTTTTAAATGCTAACCCAGTTCCCAGCTAAATTTTTCCAACAATTTGTGTGCATGAGAAAGAGACAGAAATAGAGGATAAAATGTAAGAGAGAATAGAATAAATGGATGTAGTAATGTTGGAGACATGACATTGAAGTAAAAATGAACAGTTAGATCACTGAAAAGAGGCAGGTGAGGACATCCTGAGAGAACATATCTAGAGGGCATAATAAAGATAAGGGTGAATTTTGATGTGAAGGACACCATTAAGGTTATTAGTAAAAGAAATAATAATATCAGATATAAATGAGAGAATGCGTAGACTAGGTTTAGAATGAGAGCAAAACATTTTTAAGGAAAATGGGCAGAATTTCACCAAGAGACACACTGAAGATGGTGGAACAGCTGGGACAGTTATAAAGATTAATTCATTGCTGAACAAGGTACAATAATTTCTGTTTTTTTCCTAACAACATCCAGCAGCGATCAGATTGAGGAAAACAATCAGTGGGATCTTCTCCATTAGCAACCCTCCTGGAAGACAACTCACAAGGACATGGTTTGAGACCTAAGAAGCAGGAGATGGTGTCATTGACATGTAGACATTCCTGCCTGGAAAGGGAGAACATGAAAGTGGAAGGACAATTTCACTGGAAAGATGAGAAGGAAAGGATGCACACCTAGATATTGAAGCCAGAGAGGAGACAGGCCGTGTCCTATAACTCTGGATTTACAGTTTCAAGGGAAGAAACATGAGCAAAATTGGGGACACAGATTTCACAAGAGGGGACAGGTTGAAAGAGGTTTCTAACATAAAGGGACTGAGGTTTACAATAGAAAGGGACTGCACTGTATGTGCCAATTCCCACAATTCCTAATAGGGCTGACCTTCCAGGGAAGAGGTATTAGCAGGAAAGAATCAGGTTTTAATTTAGGTGAGCAAGCAAGAAATGGTAGAAAGTAGAAGGAAGAGGGAGATTATGATAGGAAGGAGCACCATAAAGGAGAATGAGTTTCTTCTAAACTAGAGCTTATGACCCATTCTGTATGCAAGTAGATGAATAAAGGCAAAATAAAATAGATAAAAGCAAGTCTGATCCTGCAGCCAGGGAAGCATCTAAAATTATTCTACATACATTTTTTTTAGTGATGTAAATTATTTATTTCAATATATGTTCTTAAAAAAGCTTTCAAATGTCCAAAATGTTGTAAATATCAGGCTTAAGATAATGGGTCTCAACTGGAATTATTAAATAGTAGTCATATGATTTTTGAAACCATAATTGCTTGAATTAATGTTTATGAAACACAATAGCTATAACATTATGTATAAAACATTTAATATAATTTCTCAAAGCATGAATTTTGAGCTGTAGTGATCACATAGGAAGGTAGAATATGCTTAAGGTTGTAGAATCTTCTCAATACAAAATTTCATATGTCTTTTAATGAGATAACTTGCTTTTTTACTAAATATACTTACAAGTATGGCACAGTAGAATAAACATAATTGCAATTAGTGATTTGCTTTTATAATAGAGCACCTTCTTTTCACAATTAGAGGAATATTCTCAGAAATGGATTAGTTTGTTACCTTAAGTATCTGCAGTTGTTTCTACCAGTGGATAAGCAAGCTGGTGGTAGGTAGGAGAAAATTGTCATTTAAAACTTTATTTAAAATTCCAACCAGGCCAAATTATAGTGAATATCCATTGGTCATAGATCTTCCCACTGAATTAAGATATAGTTTATGTATGCCAGTGAGTATAGTACACATGAGTTCTAGGATCAACTTTATTGTCAACCATATTAGCTCTGACCTGACACTGTACTTTAATTCTTCACCTTCTTTTTTTTCTACAAAAATAATTTTTTAAAAATATCCCAACTGAGAAGTCTGAAAGTTCATTCCTTCTTTTAAATTATAATAATTTACATTTACAGAAACATAATAAGACAGATTTTCTTTTTTTCCCCTCCATTCAGTCTCCCAGTGCTGTGGACAGGTTCACTGTGCTACACAGCTGGACTCAGGTAGCACAAGGGCTAGGGCCGCACCTGCTGCATTTTTAATATTTGTTCCATGTGGGTAGATAAAAGTGCTGCGGCAGTAAACAGCACTGACTAGTGCACAACCCCGTCCACCAGTGCTCGACAACTCCCATGAGATACCTGTTTCAGGTGGTGTGCTCACACTACAGGTGCTCTCACTGCCTTCCCCAGCCGATGTCGCAGCTCTTATTTTGAAGACGTATGAGGTGTTTGCAAGAAGCTTTACAAAAGTGTATGTGTGATTTTGGGGAGAAGCTTTTGCAGAATTCCTTTCCGCCATTATTATATAATGCGTAATTATTCCATTTGCTTTCTTGGGAGGATCCCATGTCACTAAAACTGACTGCCAGTTGCTTGCCATACACTGCAGATTCTGTACAACATCTGGAACTTAAGAGATAAACATATGTCCAAAGTTAAAATTAATACTTAGCATAAAACAGAGTAAATAATTTAATTATATGATGGTTAGATGAAATCATGTTTAGGAGTGCAAAAAGAATAAAAATTTGAAGGATCATCTTTTCAATGCTCAAAAAGCTCTTTAGATAGGCTGAATCAAATGCTATTGGCAGACTTTCTAAGCTATCTTGTTAATGCTTAAAATACTGAACCAGTCACTGAATATTTGCCAAGGTCCAAGAAGCAATTACATTCTCAGATTCTCAGAAGCAACTGAAGCCCAGGTAGTAGTTTTGATGCCTGTTTTCTTAATCAGAAAGGTATAATCTTACAGTATCTTATTATGCAAAATATAGATATAGGTTCCTCCATAATGGGACACATTCAGGTTTTACAGTACTGGAAAACCCATAATCATTATGGGACTTGGTTTTATACTGGGATTCTTCTTTGGAAGAATCTTGAGAACCTAATTCTTAAGCTTTTTAGAAATCATTGATGGAGATATTTAAGCAGTCCCATGTTGTTATGGGTTCCCCCCCCCCTTAAAACCTCTCTGAATTTTCTTGAACTCAATTTCTCAATAGTCCACTATATCTAGTTGACCTATCTAGTTGACCTAGATGAGAAATAATACTCAAGTCTTCTAAAGTGACTGCATATTGGAGACCGGTTACTCCTCATGGAAATGTCCAACAGTGTACCCTAACAGTATTAATAGTATAACTTTTATCATTAGAGTAAAAAGAGAATGGTAGCAGGAAAATTAGTATATAGTTAACGTACACATTGCAAACTATAAGTAGCAAAATAATATAACTTCTTGTCATTAGGTAATTTTCAAATAGTGATTTCAAGAATATTCAAGTAATCTGTGACTTGCCTATAATTCTTCCTGATGGCCTAAATTTATCTCTTATAAACCTTTCTTCCTCTGTAAGATAAAGACATCAGTAAAGAAGAATAAAGTTAGGAATGTTTGAATGAAGAAAAGATCATTTCTAGGATGATTAAGGCCTCAGTTCACCTGAAAAATCATAGAAAAGCTCAGAGGTCAGATTCAAATCTAGACACTGATTCAGAGCTTCCACTATGAATACTATTTATTTGACTAGTCTTATAGGAATGATATTTTTTTTAAAAAAAAGACTCAGGTGTTCATAAGTTAATGCAAAAATTATTAATTCATCAGTGAGAGGTCTCTGGTTTCAATTTAGAGATTCACTAAAAAGAAAAAGTGCATCCAGAGATGCTAAAAAGAAATGACTGGAACAAGAATTTGCACTCATTCAATTATCATTGACACAAGATAAAAGGGTGAGGAAGAAATGTCTTTAAATATAAGGCCCAGCTGGTAGAAATAAAAGTACACTTTTAAGCCACCATTAAGTAAGTCAAAAATAAAAACTGTTGAGTCCCCACACAAAGGCAAAATACAGCACACACCGGCACCAGACCTGCAGTAGGTAAATTGCTGGTGAATTAGGCCAGAGAGGTATTTCATACTCCCTGAAATGTTACAATGATACTGTGGGAAAATAAAGGGCTTATGTAGTGACTCCTTCTTCTCAAATGTCACACTCAATCATTAAAGAAAATCATAGAGATGTTTCATAAAAATAAAAATCATCATAAAAACTTAGAACATAAAAACTTAAAAGTGACTGCTAGTAAATTTCTCCCCATCTTCCCAACTATTTCAGATAATCCTAAGAATTAAGTAATTTTCACAGATGTCCAGAATCTTACTTTGTTACAAAACTAGTCTTATTTCAAATTTCTCAGCTCCAAAGGGAAAACTATGTTTATATATATAGTTAACCTAGATGAGATACACACACACACACACACACACACACACATGATTTCACCGACAAAACTCAGTCTATCCTTAAAGCACTGAAATTCAATTTTCCTGTGAGTGAAATATTGAATAATGAAACTATTACATAAACTGAGAGAGGAGAAAAAACATGTTAATTATAAAAGAAAATATTTCAGCTTGTGTCTAACCTGATTCTTGGGTTGTGAAGTTTACGACATTACTAAATTGATTGCCATTTCCAACTTTCGTAAATGCAGATACACTGACAGAATAAGTGCTAACTGGTTCCAGTCCACCAAGTTTCGCTTCAGTTTGAAAACCTGAAATATTCTGAAAAAATGGGGGAAAAAAAAGATTCTTAGTCATAATGCGCCAACAAAAATTTGTTTGTAACTAGAAGAAATATTTTAATATAATACAGAAATCTTCTATATTTAACCTATGAGTTAATGAATATTTTAATTAAAATATAACAAATATCAACTTTTTTTTTTTGGAACACAGGGTGTGCTCAGCTTAGGCCACAAAGATAAATCAGGCAGTACTCTCTTTGTCTTGAAAAACCCCACAATTGCCATTTTTTAAAAACTAAAATATTTTATTTCCATCTTGTTTCTCTGATTTTTACATGGAATTATATACTCATTATTTCCCTTAAATTTGCTAAAATCAGACTTTCAATTTTTAAATTCAATTTGTGCTCGATCAGCAACACTTGATTTTCCCTGAATTTATCTAAATTCCTTTTTAATACACACTAACATGCCTATATAATCTAATTCAATAATCAACTACTGTTTGTAAGGTACTGGGGATAAAGCAGTGAATAAATAAAATCCCTGTTTCCATGAGCTTAAACTAGGAATTGTCCCAGACACCTCTGAAATTTCTAATTTGACATAATTGTTTTAGAAAAATGAGGAAAAGAACAAAACAGTTATCATAGTTGACCAAAAAAGAATATGAATTATCATAGAAAAATTTACCACTCACTGTTAAATTTTCATTCAAACATAATGATCCTAACCAAAGAGAACCATTAAAATGAAACAATTATTATTACAGAGATAAGACAATCTCTTAGGTAGTAAAAGTTTAAGAATATTAAATTATATCTGTCAACATATAAAATATGTTGATTGTTTATTAAACCTTTCATTAGCAGAAATTCAACAAGAATATTAGGTTTTGATGCATTTACAATTATAATCACATTTTTAAATAATCTCTAGTGGCATACATTGGGGACTTACTGCATCACCTTATTTCCTCTTGTTTTTCATACTTACTACTTGCAAATCATATTGATAGATGACCTGGAGATTTTAAATACATGTAAGACATGGTCCCTGCCATCAAGGAATCTTTATATTACCAAAACAATCTACAAACAATTGCTGACTGAGAAGAAATTAAACATACAACAAGTGAATTCCAATTTTAATTAAAAGGGTATGTACCCAGAAAAAAAAAAAAAAAAACTGAACCCAACAGATAACAAAGCAAGGGTATGAGAGTAACTTTTGGGTAGTCACTTACTATCTCTGAGTAACCTAAGTTACCTATTGATCTTATTGAGGACCACTGAGATAGCAGTACCATTGGGAATGATTCTGAAAATTATTATTCCTCTACAAACCCACAGATAATTTAAAAGAAGAAAATAGATTATAGAAACTGATACTGTCAGGATACAGGGTAGATAAAAAAAGAAAGAAACACAATGGAGTGGAAGCTAGGTAGAGGAAGAAAAGCAGATGTAGTAAACTGAATGTTAAAAAAGGAAAGAATGACATTAGAGTATTAACGCACATTTAAAGGAATTTTAAAGAAATTAATATTATGAAAACCAATGTAAGGGAAAATGTCTTCTATAAAGTAGTTTTCTTTGGGCATGAATTTTAAGTAGCTGCACTTACAACTTAAAGAAACTGAGTTTTAGGAGGTTAGGCCGTTTCCCTAATGAACCCCAGTGAGTCTCAAAGGCAAGGTCTGAACCAGGTAACATGAGATCAAAGCCCTTGCTTTGCCACTCTGTTAAGGGTATCTCCTTTGGAGACTGCCATTCTAAGGAGATACGATCATACACATGCAGCCACACTTCAGTGCACATACACAATTATTCTAGGCATGTGAATACACAGAGAAAATTATTATTTTTCCCTTTTGATATTTCCCCATAACCTGTTAAGACAAAGGAAATTTTTAAAATAGGAAAATGTTGAGATTGAACCAGAGAATAGGTAATAGAAAGTAATAGGCTTCATATAATTAATATAATTTCACACTTCTGGGAAACAGATTCTATACCTACAGAGTCATGTAATTTAAATTCTCCCTAGCCTATCGGACTTTAAAATAGTATCTTGTTCTCCAGAAAGAAAGTCATTGTTATTGATGACAGACTTTAATCACCGCTTTTGATTTTCACTATTCACTTTGTAAACAGCACATGCTATAAAAATGATTTACCATAGTAACAAATTATAATACATATAATATTGGACAAAATGTTTGCTGTATACTTTCTGCACTGCTATTGTTGTAATCAAGTAAGAATATTCCAGGACTTCATTCACCTTTGAAGAAAAATAAGAAAACTTTCTTAAATGCTAATTAATTATGACATATTTTGGCAATTAAATCCTAGCAATCATGCACATGTACTTCAGACTCTTTGTTAAATAGGTACTTTGGGGAATTTTTACTGATCCTGGATCCTAAAACATAGAAAAAGGAAGGGATATTTAGAGTTATAGATGAATTAGCAATGAAAGTAAAAGAATAAGAATTTATCTTAGATCATTGAATGTAGTATCATATGCTATCAGGAAAGATTATCAAAGGTGTAAATGCCTTTAGAAAAGTTAAAAAATTCATTTGGTATTTCTTTTCATAATATATATATATATATATATATATATATATATATTTTATATATATATATTTTATATATATATATATATATAGCATTTCACAATAGATTTTAAATAAGCCAGAAAAAGATTACTATATACTTTCCAGCATTAGCATTAACAAAATGGTACAATTAGTTCTTAAACTGTAGATATCTAAAAGCTACAAATTTAAATATATTGCTCTAGGAAGTACACAGCTTAAATAAATGCTTTTTCACAAACATTTTTAAGTTTTAGGAAACAAAAAAAAAAATTTGAAAGGTTGCCATTGTTTAATTTAAAAACAGCCAATTTTCCACCTACATGTCCAAAATTCAATCTCAGAATTTTTGAAATAAACATATACTATTAGAATCAACCTACCTTATAAGATATAGTATCACTTTCATGTTCATGAATTTTAAGACTGTATATTTTAACAATACCGCCTGGAAGAGGACTGGGGCTCCATTTCAGCCATACAAAGTCTGAAGTGTAGTTGATTAAAGTCAAATTTTGAGGAGGTGCTAAAGGCACTGTAGGAAAATACATCACAAAACTTTTATTCATAACACTTGTAGCATTGAAATTGCATTGTGACTGTAGCTTCTTTTTTTTAATATTTATTTTTTAGCATTTGGCAGACACAACATCTTTGTTTGTATGTGGTGCTGAGGATCGAACCCAGGCCCCACGCATGCCAGGCGAGCTCGATACCACTTGAGCCACATCCCCAGCCCCATGACTGTAGCTTCTTGAAGACACTAAATTAAGAAGGATTTAGAAAATGATCATATTTTTAATTTCAGAAACAAATACCATAAGTAATTATATTTTTGTTCTTGGAACATAATAGCTCCAAAGTAGCTTTAAACAGAACACATAATTCTGAAAATTGTATTAGGAAACAAAATTTGGCAAAGTAGATTAAAAATTGTAAGCCTGCTACAAATCAACAATCAGATATTCTTTCATTTTCCACTCTGTTCCTTAGATCAAGAGAAAGTACTGGAACAATGAAATCATTTGAAGGAATGTGGATTCCGGCTTACCTGACTCATCTGTGTAAAAGAAAAGAATACTCGGGGGACCGAGTCCTTTAACAGTTCTTGCAGCAGCAAAAAAACTATATAACGTAAATGGTGAAAGCTCTTCCAATATTATATAGTTATCAGAAGTAATAAAAAAATAATTTTCATTTGGTCCTTGTAAAATTAAGTCATAACTTATTATTGCACCATTTGGCTTTACTGGGGGATCCCATGATAGGAGAACTGAGGTAGAGGAAAGGTTTTTAAAAGTGTTGATTATTGGTGAAGTTTCTGGGACTATAAAAGAAAAAGAGAATAATAAATGAAACAAAAGCAAATTAGCATTTAAAAAAAACTTCAATTATAACTGGACTTAATTTTATTAGCAAATTTTAATTTTAAGAAGCTTAGAACATGTTTATCTCATTACTTGAGAACAAACAGAACCTACATAGTTGTAAGAATAATGCTTCTTATAAAAATCAATATAAATGAAGAGAACAATAGTCTGATTAATAGGCAATAAAAGGTCTAGCCTACCATCTTCTTCAGTTTTGATGAGTAGCTGGGCAGTATAGATATCAGAGAATCCCTTTTCTGTTGATGGAGTGATTTCTAATATATAATCAGTGTATTTTTCCAGATTATCAAAATATATGCTGCTGTCATATGTAACTAGAGGTGGTTTCCCATGGCGAGGAGTCTGCTGTATATTCAGTGAAACATAGTAGAAGACTAGACCATTTGGGTGAGACGGTGGGACCCAGCTTACATTTATCGCAGTTGATGAGATAGACTGGTAAGTCAGGTTTCCAACAAGCCCTTCAGGTACTATGATAGGTAATGAGCAAAATATAAAATCATCAGTTACCCTATGCACAAACTGAGTACAATCATTAAAATGGCATCTATTACATGACAGTTCTTACATTATTATTTAAATGCAGATGTGGTCAAACATTGCCTATATAAAATACCCTTTAATAATCATTTGAGAATTATTCAAAATAAACACTGCCATAATTAATATATGAGTGAATTATTTTTATATAATATTTTCTTGACTTTTCTTTCCTGCAACATGGACTGTGTGTGAGAGAGAGAGAGAAAGAGTAATGTGTGTGCATTTATTTTCGAGTATTTAAATATTTTGGTAATCTGTATTGTCTAAATAATACTTAGCTTTTTTCTTCTAAAGATTATCCTATTGAACATATGAGGAAACATACTCAGTAATAAGTGACTTGCTCAAGGTTATACTAAGGTTTTCTGATTTCAACTTATAAAACTTCTAGTTCTCAGATATCAGCTATATTCTGAGACTCAACTTTATTAATGTAAATTTGAAATCCCACTTGGAGCATTGTACAGTAAATGCTTATTATTTATGGTGCTATAATTATACTTGTTAAAATATTATACATTCCAAAAATCTTGGGCGAGATCTGCATTTAAAGAATGCCTGAAATGATATTGACCACATATTATACTAAAAGCATTATTTCTAAAGACTTCTTAAATTTACATTTCCACATATTTATTGTATTTTGTTGATCAACTTGTCAACTATTCAAAAAAGATTTTTTCCAACAAGGTAAGCATTCATTTCTCATGCTTATAGTGTCTGTCAACTTATGACTTCCAAATAATACATATGGAATTTTACTGTCATCAGAAACATAGGGGAATACCATTTATCAATAGGAGATTAATCTTTAAAAATAAACAAATAGCCAACAGAAAGAACCACAAGGGAAATAGGAAATGATCCACTTATTATATTGTCACAACTGAAACCTAAAAAAAAAATTAAGAGCTTCAATCATTTTAGTTTTCTGAATACTCAGTACAAACAGGATTCTGCAGAAACTGCAAATAAGAAATTTCTATTTCGTTAAAAAATAAAGGCTATTCGGAGTGTATTAGTCACAAAAACAATAAAAGAAAAGTGCTGCATAAAGTCCTATGTGGATTCAAAGTCTGGAAAGGAAGCAAGTTGCTGGAGATTAAAAAAAGTCATTCCTAAAGCAGATGGACAAATATATTAACGATTAGAAAATTCATCCATGGGTACAGAAGCATTTTTCATTTCTATAACGGCAGGCTGTGACACATTTTGAAGCAATAAAAGCAAAAACTAATGAATGGATGGTAGCAGTTTTCATGAAATGAAGGGGCTATTATTTTTATAATAGTTTTCTTATATTAAATGAATTTTCAAATTCTTATAATGAATAAATATGCCTAAAAAGATTTTATTACCAATTCGTGAAATAATCACAAAGTTTTAAAGTAACTTAATTGATATTAATAAATGTTTTTTAGTTACGTACTGTCTTGATCTGTGTATACTTGAATTATGTCACTGCTTTTATTCCCATTTCCAACTGAAGTACTTGCTGTTAACCAAAATGTATAGTAGCTGAATATTGCCAGTTTATCTATTATTGCAGAAACGGTCATATTGTCAAACTCATTGGTTACTTCATAGAGTGTAAAATTCTGAAAAATAAATATATTGTTTTAAAGGTTCAGAATATGTTTTTGATGTACTTGAATGTTTTAAAATAATTATTATCCATTAATTGATTCTCTCTTACTTTAATATATTAAGTTTTAGGAAAATCAATATAGATTATTTTCATTGCAATAATTAAGCTGGAAATATGTTTGCTTTAAAAGAGGAATAGATGCCAATCACAAAAATACAAAACAAAGGTTCTCTCTTATAAGTGGATGCTGATCCATAATGGGGGACATGGGAAAAATTGATGAGCTTTGATGGGGCAAAGGGGAGGGAGAGGTGGGAAGGAGGTATGGAGATAAAAAAGATGGTGGAATGATATGGACATTATTCCTCTAGATACATGTATGACTGCACATATGTTGCAACGCTACATCGTATACAACCAGAGAAATGAAAAGTTGTGCTGCAATTGTGTACAATGACTCAAAATTCATTCTGCTGTCATATATACCTAATTAAAATAAATTATTTAATTAAAAAAGAGGAATAGATGGTAGAAATTTTTCTTCTTTTTTTGATTTGGTTTTTTGATTTTTATTTATTTATATATGACAGCGGAGTGCATTACAATTCTTATTATACATATACAGCACAATTTTTCATATCTTTGGTTGTATGCATAGTATATTCACACCAATTCGTGTCTTCATACATGTACTTTGGATAATAATGATCATCATATTCCACCATGATTAATAACCCCATGCCCCCTGCCTTCCCCTCCAATCCCTCTGACCTATCTAGAGTTTATATATTCCTCCCATGCTCCCTCTCTCCATCTCACTATGAATCAGCCTCCTTATATCAAAGAAAACATTTGGCATTTGGTTTTTTGAGATTGGCTAACTTCACTTAGCATTATCTTCTCTAACCCCATCCATGTACCTGCAAATGCCATGATTTTATTCTCTTTTATTGCTGAGTAATATTCCATTGTGCATATATGCAACATTTTTTTAATCCATTCATTTATTGAAGGGCATCTAAATTGGTTCCACAGTTTAACTATTATGAATTGTGCTGCTATAAACATTGATATAGTATGTAGTATGCTGTTTTTAAGTCCTTTGGGAAAATTTTCTTTAAAAAATAAATATACCAAATAAACTTTAAAGCTTATATTGGTAATGAAAGTGAAAACGCTGTAACTGTGCTGATCAGTGGTTTTCCTTGTGAAACACTTAAGTACTTTTCAAAGTATTCACTGTTTTTAAACAAGTTTGGAAATATAAATTTTTAAATTTTTTCCTCTCATTAATTATAGAGGAATTATGAAAGTGTTTACCTCTTTCTATAAACTCAAATATTTATTATTATTCATCTTTAGTGAGCCCTCTTTGTTCTATACTTTTGGAGAGCAAAGGGAAATCAAATGTACTCTCTAATGTACAGAATGACATATTTAAGTTCTCATTCCTAATAGTTATATTTATCCCAAAGATTTTTTTTAATATTTAAGGAATTCTTGCAATTGTTTTCCTTCTGGTGAAAAATTAAAAATAAATCACATAATCAAACAAAATGAATTCTAAAGTAAAGGAAAATAGATTTTTAAAAGCACATCACAAATGAGTATGAATAATTTTATAATAATGTATTTATACTAAGTAATCTGAATCATCCCAACCCACATGGAAAGCTTTGAGTCTTATAGACCTTACATTCAAGTTCTGGCAGGGAAGCCCTCAATAGATTATCTACTTCTCTTCCCACAACTGTAAAAAGCAAATAATCATCTCCACTTACAGAGAGCTTTGAGGATTAGATTACAATGAGGCACATAAAGCAATTAATACCATATTTGGCACACAGAAAAAACAATAATGGCAATTAGTTTTGTTAAAATAACTAACAATTTATAATCAATTTGACTAAATGTATAGACAAGATGGTTCTGAATTTTATCCAGAAATTACATTCAATAAAATTTTGTGGTTCTTTTCCTAGTTTGAGGGAAGAAAAGAGGGAATGAAATAAAGATTTACTTCAATTTTTTGGTTAGTTATTTTGGAACAGCCATATTAAAGTCATATAACAACACACAAAATAAGATGTATAAACTTTAATGCCTTCCAATATATTTATTTTATATATGAAATAACTGGCTAATATAAAGTATCACTTAAAAATATTAATTACTTAAAACTTCTTGTTTTAAAACTTTTTATTTTTGTTTGCTATTTGTTATTCTAATTACCTATAACATTGATGACTTGAGTAATAAATAATTTTGAATCAACCAGAAGTCCTGTTGGGTTGTGTGACTCAGCATGCATAGACATATAATAAATTTATTAAATGAGATCAATTATCCAGATTATTATTTAATTCATCTATTTACTTTTGTCCCCAAAATGTATTTTGGTCCTAATTACCTTAATTAAGGATTATTCCTTGGTTTATGTAAATACAGTCAGAAAGTATTTAGTAAAAGCTTTCAAATTTGATTAATTAATCAACCAAAATTCACTTAGTGCTTTTTATATAAGGCATTTTGCCAGGCACACTGAAAAGACATGACATAAATTGGTAGTAATTAAAATGGACGAGAGTTAATAATCTATACAAAACAGTGCGTGACAAATAAAGAAAGCACAAGATGGACTGCCAAGTAGTGGTAGAGAGATTAAGTTCCCCAAGATAATAAGAAGGAAAGATCACTCCAAACTCAAGTGTTCCAAAATTATAACTAAGTACTGAAAATGTTTGTCAATTATAATAATTTTATATTCTTTCTATTAAAATGTTTATTGAGCATTAAAGCTATGTATGCGTCACTTTGTTCCAGGGAACATGAGGGAAAGGAAAGATAATGTCACATGTTCTTTTCTTCAAAGTATTGCTATAATGTAAGGGAACTAAGAAAAGTAGCAGATACCTGCAATAGGAGTTAATATGACTTACTCAGCATGAGGTGTTCTACAAATTCTGTGGGGAGGGGAAAGAAGAGAAGAAAGAACAAGGAAAAAGCTATAAACCTATTCAGCTATACAATTCTTGCTATGAGGAGTTCTTCTACAAACCCCAAATAGAAAATCAGGTAGCAAAGATGTTGATGCTATTTTTAACAATAACCTTAGGAATACTTTAAAGCAGGAATGAACTTGAAGCAATATGAGACTATACTTCTCAAGCGCTTTAACATCATTAGCCTGTGCCCTTTTGCAGCTGTCACACTTAAAAGCATTCTTAAGATTACTTAAAAGATAACATGTTCTAAGAAAAATGAATTGCAAATGGGATCATATTATATACCAAGTTTGAATATATAGGTTTAGAAAAGGATGTTGAAACCCATAGTTAGATGTTTATACTTGATTATTTAGATGTGGACAAAGAGAATCAAATATAATCATGTTTAAACTATAAGCAAATTGTAAGAGACAAACATGGCTAAGATGTAGAACTACAGAAACCATTTTGCAATGCTTGTTAAACGTATGAAAGAAGAAAAATTGCAATTTGAATACCTTTTATGATATAATGAATATTGTTAAAATTGTATACAATACTGTGGTGAAAAACTGCCTCACTAATCTCCATTTTTTCTTTCATAAACAGAGCAGAACAAAAAGGAATGATAAAAACTACTTGATGTAAAACAGAGAATAAAACTGGACCCTTCCTTTTCTTTCTGCTCTTAAGGAATTTGTTTTTAAAATTTGTACAATTAAATCTATTTCTATATCTACATGTCTTTCAAAAGTAGTTTTCATTTTGGCATGAAGTTTTAAGTAGTTGTACTCGTACAACCCCAGTTTAGAGGGCAGATTGCAAACACTGAACCAGCCTCTGGACTCATTTTTTCTCTCTTCTGGACTAGTCCTGAGATGGCTTGCAAAGTTCTGCCCTTACCTATTCATCAGCCTGAAATGCATCACAGTGGCACTAAAGCAAGCCTTGCCTAATCCCAGAGGTTGTCACTCACAAGCACTGACTCTAGGACTAATCTTGGATTGTCAGGCACAAACAGGATTAGACAACTCAGAATTACAAAGTTCTATCTCTACTCTCCTGTTGCTTAAAAAGATAACAAAGACTTGCCACAATCACAATCAACACGCAGTCAATAATTTCTTAGTAAAGTAAATATTCTATAAATGGCAGTATTTCTTCTATTTTCAAAATTATAACTCTTCCCACCTTTGATTCAATCACAACAACTCCAATTTTGTCCTTTACAGAGTTCTGTGAAAAATTAATCTGGATAAATACTATAATTCTGTGAAAAAAAAAATTGAAAATATTTTTCTAAATTAAATGAATGTGGGCTACCATGACTATCATCATATACATCCCATAAAGTGCCCACTACAAACAGTGCAAGCCTAGAACCTTAACACCACAAATTTAAAATAATCACATTCCTAGGATCTTCAACATATCTGATTTTAAGCAATAATAATATTATAATAACTATAACATCTTGACCATAATCAAAAAAATTTTAAATGAAGAAAAACACAAACATATACAAACCCTAAAACTATTCATATTGTAAACAAACAAAGTGAAAATGTGTTTTTAGCTATAAAAATAATAGAATAAATAAAAACCATTAACACTAAGAATAGTTCTTGGAGGAAGTATAATTGAGGGCCATCTATACATATAGAATTTTAAATAGGTGGCATCTTCATTGTTATTTAAATACACTTAAAACTGATATAGACATGGAGGGGTGTTGAAATGCATCTAATACATTCTCCACCACATTTTTCCATTGGTGGGAGTTTTATAAAATATGTCTGTGCACAATTATGTATGTAAAATAAGTAAATTTCTTTACCACGGCAAGTCTTCATTAACTACATAACTAAAGAATGTAATAAGAGAAAATTCAGTTCTTACCTGAATAAAAGTACCTGAAGTATTTCTATAATAAACAGAATAATATTGTATAATCCCATTAGGCTTTGAAGGAGGTGTCCAAAAGAGAATTATTGATGAAGAACTGAGATTTACATAATGAACATCTCTGGGAGGATCACTGGGTGCTGTAAAACAAATAATTGAACAACAACAACCACAAAAACCCTGTACTTGTGGCCTCTAGTAGTGTCTGAAATACCTGAATTTTCCTACACTTTTAAGCTAAAGAAATGAGAATTATTTTTTTAAAACAACTTAATATATTACCTATTTAGATGTCAGAAGTGAAATCCATAAGACTCCCTGACTCATCCTACCGCATTAAGACTCATTGGGACAGTCTACCATACCAATATTCAAGTGGAGGACAGATGGATTTCATACTATACTACCCTGGGGGCCAGGAGCCATGTAATGCCTATAATGTCAGCAGCTCAGGAGGCTGAGACAGGAGGATCACAAATTCAAAGCCAGCCTTAGCAAAAAGCGAGGCACTAAGCAGCTCAGTGAGGATACTCTGTCTCTAAATAAAAAATACAAAATAGGGCTGGGGATGGTACTCAATGGTTGAGTGCCTTCAGTTCAATCCCCAGAATCTGCCCCCCGCCAAAAAAAAAAAAGTTCCCTGGCTCTAAATCTTGCTGACTACTCTAGATTTTAAAGCAACATAATAACAAGTTTCCAATAGAAAAAACATAAAATAAAATACCTATCTAGTTTAGAATTGTGAAATTGAATAATAAAGGTCAGAGGTAGAGAGCTGACTTCATGCATTTTATTTTCTTCCATTTAACAATCACAAATAATAAACAAATGTTTATTATGTGTCATGTAAGTGTTGTGTTGAGTGCACTCACAAACATAAATTTATTTAATCCTCATAAGGACCATATGAGTAGATATGATATTGCTTCTACATTATAGATGGGAAATTGAGGCAAAGATTGATTAACTAGCTTTCCAACATCACACAACTAGGAAGTAGATGCAATTTTGAAAATGGATATTAGAACTGAAGATGGGCCTCAGTGGTACAGTGTTTTTCTAGAAAGCAAGGCCCTGGATTCCATCCTAGGGTCCACAAAAGAAAAAGAGAGAGAGGGAGAGAAAAAGAAGAAAGAGGAAGAAGAAGAGAAGTAGGAAAAGATGATGATGGTGACAATAATATGCATTTATCACTCAAATATTTTGATACTGAATGCTTTTCTAAGCACAATATTCTTTAAGTTGGCTTCTATTCATAAGAACTCACCTCCCTCTGGTGTTCGAAAGTTAATGATATTGCTTCTTGTTTTTCCATCACCAAATCTAGTGCTAGCTGTTACATAGGCACTATATTCAACATTATAGTCCAAATCTGAAAACTCTAATGACGTTCCAGTTACATTAATGGTTTTTAATGATGATATATCCCTGAGAGAGAAAAAAGAATATTATCTGCATAATTGGCTTTTAAATTAAAAATTTCCATCTACTTTTTAAGCACAAGTATTTCAAACGTAAGTAGCATTTATGTATAGAAATGTATTAATCTAAATTAATAGGATAACGATTTCACTTATCCTAAAATACTAAAAATAGTGAATTTCAGAATACTTTAGTGAATTAACTTCATTTGCTTTCAAGTACATTTAGTATTTCAATCAAGTGTTAATAACATGTTCATAATTACAGTTTGGGCCAACTTTAATGGGTCTCTAGGAATACTGTGTATTCAAAGTAATTACAGCATTCCCTTTCATACTAATGGTTTACTTGTTCAAATATTTATTCTTTTTAAATGTCGGCAAAATCTTACTTACACAACTGATTGTCAAACAAAGCCATCTTTCATATATTGTATAAAAATGGCATTAACTTCAATCAAAAAATTGTAAATACAGTTTAGTAGTATCTAAAATAGCAAGTCTATGGGCTCTCCTTTACTTATTTAATAGAAATGATATTGAAAACAACATATGTATATCATACAGGAAAGAATAAAACAGTTCACATCTCTGACTCAATCAAAATCTTATAGGTATTTAAAAATGGCATGCCAGAAAAGAAAATAAGTCAAATCAATATGAACGCAAAACTCTCCAAGTAAGTACCAAAAAGTCCCCCAAAAGAATGAAGTGCTGCAAGTTATTTAGCACTACAACTAGTTTATTTTAGTCACATTCGCTCAGTTTCTAGAGTTTTGAATTGAACACAGATTACTATCTAAAAACAAGTAATGAACGTGTATATAGTTGTGCTAAAAATGTGCATCTAAAAAAGAAATACACATTTTAGAACAATAAAATATTATAGAATTTCAACAAGGGAATATTATCAATATCACAGAAAAAGAATGTCTCATATAATCTCATATTTTTCTTTTCTGGAAACACAAGGCACCCAAAAAGTAACTGGATATCCCTTCTAAACAGAAACACTCTTTCTTTACTCCTTAAATATCTAAATATGGAAATCCTTAAGAGGAATAATAGATTTTACATGAAATAAGGGTAACCACCAAGAGATAACACTTCAACCATGGTTTTACTATTGCAGACTTGCCAATTTACTCCAAATACAAGTATTGTTATCTGTAAAATAGATAGCTTAGCATGGTGAGAAAAATCTTGGATTCAGAATCTACAACTGGAGACAGGTGGGATTAGCCAGGCCATTCAGCAATTTGAAACAGTTTCATTAGACACTCTCTTCCAAAAGCAGTAGGGAGAGCTTTCTTTGACTTCATTGAGATCACAGAAGAGGAGCTTTTAAAATTCTTAATGCTGTAGCTGTTAGTTTCAGAAAAAGATGCCTTGTCATGGAAACTTGACCCAATTCTGCACTGCTGTTGTTCATAGGTCACAGTCATCAGAATACTGCAGAAGAGCTAATCCAATTCAGATCTTTAAAGCTATGGTATTAGCTAAAGTAATCTAATTGCCTTATGTCTATTTTGAAAATTACTCTTCAAGCATATTTTACAATGCACCTTACCTCAGTATCTTCTTGCCCTGATTCTTCACAGCAAAATATTACAGATAAATATCTGGCTACCATAAAAAAAAAAAATTTGTTCCGTACATAAAGCAGAATAAAAAAATTGCTTAGAAAATGCACATTAAAATAAACTTTTCTCAAGTATTTAGATATTATAGTAACAAGAAGATAGTCTCAATAAATTTTCCTTATAAGAAACGCAATAATTTATTTCAGTAGACATAAATCGATATACTTTATACATCTATTCTGGTTTGCCATAAGAGATAAGATAGTCCTAGCAAAAAGTTTTCAGATACTAATGCCTTATAAGTTTGGATTTTTTTTTTTTAATTTTAGAATTGTGATTGATATTCTAATAAATGAGATAGAAGAAGATCTGAGCATAAATAAACTTTCAATGAAATAGTTCAGAATATATCTTTGGCTTGCATGAAATGTTCTGTCATAAAACTGAGAACTAAGGGGAAGGGAAAAGAAGAGACAAGTGAACTGTCACTGAGGCTCCCTCTCCATCTTCCTTGTTCTGAGTATCTGTTGCCCCAATGGTGGTGACACAGAAACCTGTAGTCTAAGGCATGAGATCTCCACTCTCTAAGGAGCCAACTAGGGAGCAGTTCAACAGCAGAGAGGGTTCACTCCCTCCCACACATAAGAAACCCAGCTGAGACACTGCTGTGTTGAGCTGTACTCTTGGGATTAGCTGGTTAGTTTTAAAATCTGTTTTGTTCTTAATTGACTTAAAATATTGGAAAAGAACTTTCATATGTTCCATCATCATGCTTTATTTTCATATATAAAAATGTATGTTCTGAACCTTGATTTTCTTTCTCTTATGTTAATAAGAAATCCAAATCATTATGTTTTTATAACTACAAAATTTGGGGGTATTATAGTTTTCCAGTCTTTCTTCTAAGAATTAAATTTTAGGGGGTTTCTCTTATTTATTTACTTAGCTATTACTAACAATGCTGCAGTAGGCATCCCTCAATAAATACTTTTCACAATAGTAACTTCATTTCTGCTTGTTAAGTTGTGTGATTGTTAAGTCATATGGACTGATACATCCTTTATTTTAATGATTATTGCTCCAAAATGATCATCATTCCAAACTTTAAATTATTATTTAGAGTCACACCAATAACATATGAGAATACATATTTTGGCAAATTCTTCATAATTTCTGCAGATCTAATTGACAAAAATTTTAATTTGCACATCCCTGACTATGAGTCAAATGAAATGTCTTCTTATATGTCTATTGATAATTTGTGGTTCCATTTTAAAAATATCTATTCAAACATTCTCTTTGCTGTCTTCTATTGAAGTCTTTTAAAAGGAGAAGAGTATATGTCTGAATTAGGGAGGATCAATCTTTAGCCAGTGCTAAACATAGATGACTTCTCTGCTCCCTGTGAACTTAGAGATGATATTGTGAATTCTATATTCAATAAAACTTATTTAAATCTACTTTGTGCCTGGCAAAAGTAGCAAAAGCAAGAGAGAGAGAGAGAGAGAAAACAATAATCAAAGAAATCAGTTAAGATCAAAGTAGAGAAGAGAAGACTAAGGCACACAACAGGATACAGTAAGCTGCTCACTGGGGAGGGAGCCTGCAAAGCCTGAGAGTAGAACAGGTAGCTGAGTGGGGGAGGAAGCCAGAAGGCCCAACTGACAAAGTGATTTTAACTTAGTCACAGACTGTGTGAAAATTAAAGGAATATAAATGTTATACAATACTTAATTTCTTAAAATATTTCACTTTTCAATAAATGTTAAGACTAAGAAAAAAATTAAGGGCAGGCTTCATTGCCATCATTTTACTGATTTAATATTAAACCTCAAAGACTATTCTTATAACTTGGAAATTTAATTTGGAAAAATCACAAATTTGGATTACTTTGACATTATTTTGAATAAATATAAAAAGATATTTTGTTGTTGTTTTTGTTTTTTATCTTCACTCATAGAAGAAAATGTCTCATACCAAGAAAATGTCTTATGTTGGGAAAAAATTTAGTCTTTGAGATGAAGTTATTTACTACTTAACATCTTTTTTCCCCAAAAAGGCAACCACATTTGACATCTAGGTCAAAAAGGAAAAATGGAGAATAAGAGCAATTTCTTTGCTTTACCAATTTCTTTGTTCATTTCTTATAGTTACCATGATAAGTAACAACTGTCTAGGAAGGAATTTTGAATATCCAAGCCAATGGAAGACAAACAAATTTCCCCATTGCTGTATGAAATATGATATGTCAAGAGCTCTGTAATGTTTTGAACAACCAATAAAAAAAAAGAAAAAGAAAAAAAAATTCCCATTGCTAAAGTATGAATATGTGTGGTTTCCTATACAAGGTTTGAGACTCTTTGAAAGGGCATCATCTTAATTATAATTCATCATTTAATACTTTGTTTCATGGAGGTAATCTAACTTGATGATATCCATTCTTGTATGCTTCTATGAATTTATTTTTTTAAATTTTCTGCCTTTATCTAAACATTATCTAAACATTCTATTTTAGTTTTTTCACTCACTAAATACTGATCTCCAAAGTAAGGAATATCAACATTCAGGGCTGGTGTTGTGGCTCAGAGGTAGAGCACTTGGCTAGCATGTGCAAGGCCCTGGGTTCAATCTTCAGCACCACATAAAAAATATATATAAATAAAATAAAGATATATATATATATATATATATATATATATATATATATATATAAAGAATATCAGCATTCAATTACTGAACTCTATCGAACAATTTTCTTCCTCATATGAATCAGTGATTCACTAATTTTCATGCCCTGTAATGAAACTGCTCTTTCATGTTACACCTTATTCTAGAATAATAATTACTTATCACAGCTTGGTAATATCAGTGTTAGTAATAATGTATTCAGTGGCCCCAAACTAGCCAGGTATGGAAGGTTCCAAAAACTTAGAGACAAGGAATAAGGATCCAAAATACATAAAAAGAGATTGTAGAGAGATTTTATCACCTGAGAATGGAGGCAAAGGTTAAGGATGTACATGAGTTGATAGGTTTGGAGAGCAAGTTGTTGGGGCAATAAAGTTTGAGATAGCCACCTTCATTTTCAGTGCAGAATGGAAGTTAAGTTACCTGCTATCAAAGAGGTAAGAGGGGCTGGAGGATAGAGAAAATAATTTGGGACAAATTCTAAGGAAAGCAAGAGGAAAAGCTCATCAAACCCAAGTAAAATGAATTTCAGAGGCTCTCAAAGTTCAGTAAGGATGGAAAAAGCAAGACGGAGTGAATATTATATCCTATTTAATTAGTGAATGAATTTTTATTGAGAGACTGTAATATATGTACCATAATCTATGATGGGAATATGAAGGTAAAAAAGACTCTGCCTCTGGTTTGAAAGGTTTACAGTCACAGTTAAAGGATGTCATCCCCACTGGGCTCAGAA